AAGTATAAAAGCCAAGTGTAGATTTGGAGGGATTCGACCCCCTCACTGACGAAGGTTTCTTCTTTGCTACTATCTTTCGGCTTCCATTTTGGCCGACCGACCGCACAGTGTTTCTAAAGGCGCCTTTGGCGCTAAAATATACTCTTTTTGAGAGAGAATGTTCAATAAGGAGTATATTTAGATCACAAACTGAGCTTTCATGAAAACATAGAAGTACTCAAGAAAAACAAGGTCTTCTCTCCGGATTTTTTAACCAACTGGGAAAACTTTGAGTTCTTAACAACTAGTGAGAGCATACAAAAATTGCGGTAAAACAATAATCCAATATGCTGTTCTGTTAAGCGGAACAGCAAGTAAGACTGACTTAAACAATTTAGTCAAAACTGTTCAAATCAGGAGCAAACCCTGAATGTTCCGACTGCCTTTTAAGGTCTGTGGAGCAGTAATGGCATTTTTAAAAAAAAAATCAACATTATAAAAAATAACATGATTTTTTTTTAATATGAAATTTTTTGTGAACATCATCCCCCCACACGCCAAATAAAAAACAAAGTGATAAGTTTCGCTCCAAGTAACAAACCAATAATGGCAAATAAGCTTGCTTCAATAAGTGTGAAGCGATATTTAAGACGGAAGAACTCTCCGCTTACTCGTTACTAGCCCAAAACAATCGCGCGTTATATGTCTCAAATTGCCCAAAATGGCAATCTTCAAAACCTCAATCTACAAAAAAAACACACAGGTGAAAGTTTTTTTCTAATTTTAAGCCTGAGACAACCTTATCTTTTGAGTGATTTTTTATAAAAAAAAATTCTTCAAAAATGGCTAGTTGACAAGCCCCGAAGTCTGAAGAAAACCGCCCCGAGCACAAATATTCCATTACTTGTTTTTCTTCACAAACATGTATATTCAAAATCACTGCTTGGTTAAACGTACATGCTGCTAAAAATGGAATTATCATAATGAGTTAAAAAGCATCAACTACACCGGCGTGTTAATATACAATTGCACTTTGTATAAATCAAAATGATCAAGACAATTCTAATATTAGATATAAAAATAATCTCGAAAAGAACTAATGGATCTGTCAAAAGAAATTTTTTCGTGTATTTCTATTGAATATTTTTCAAGTTCAAATTTAAATTTTTGTTGAGCTTCAACTTTTTTCAGTTTTTTGTGTAAATTGTTCCATTTATTACGAATAATTTTTCCTTCAGATTTCTTTTCCCAATTTGTTTTTAGAAATCTGTTTTGATTTATTTGTTTTGTGTGTTCGTTTAGTTTCACAGGTACTCTGTTATAGATAAACTGCCTATCAATTTTATTTTTATTGATCTTTTTCACCACATCGAACATTCTAGTCAAGCTACGCTGGGTAATGAAAATCATTACGAAAGTCGGATCAAAAACATACGTCGTAGTTTAGTTCGAGTTCTGTATTATTCAATAGAAAACTTACTTCAATTTGAAATTTTGAAGCTTTCAAGCAAAAATAATACGTATTGATGAGGTAGGAAATGCAACAAAAACCTTACTTGAACGAAGAGGTTTCAGATAAACTCGCTAATACTATGACTTTTTCATAAAACTCAGTACGAGGCAAAACGCTGTGAGACAAGATCAACCTTAAAGGTTGCGTAAAAAAGCTTTTGTTAAAACTTAAAATTAATTTTTGAAACCTAAAAATAATCTTTCAAAACGCAGCTTATCACTATGTTTTTCCTGACGATTATTTTTTCGGTTGTTTGGATCTTTCCAGATAAAATTTGAGGAAAATTACTTGATTATTGGGCTAAGTGTAGTGTTGTTTTCCCGAGTTCTCTGGGCCAAGTTTTTATGAAAAACTTTCAAAATATACCAGTAAATTGTGTTTTCCTTGAAAGAAAAGGATACGCTTTATAAACTGTGTTCTTTTTCTGAGGCATCCCTCGGAGAATTGACTTGAAATTTTTAGGATGTCCTTACAAACATAAATTAATCATAAGTTACTGAGCTCAATATAGTGTAGAGTTTGTTGCAAACGATAAATTCTTGTATTAAACGTTTCATTTAAAAACAGAAGCTCCACCAATAATTTGGCAAATTTGAGCCGTATAAGAGAAAACATTTAATCAATGTAGTCGACCTAAAAAAAATTATCAAAAATTCTTAAAATTTTTTTGAACATCCTCTTCCCTTCCAGAAAAGTTTAAATCCGCCACTATGAAAATTAGAGCTTTTCCTCAGACATTTCGTTTCAAACTATTACATTTCGGCTCTTTTTCAGTTTATTCACTTTCGCTATATAGGGATTTCTGGGTTTTATGCACTAAACGGCCCAAAATCAATTTTTCTACATCGTAAGCTGGAAATTATGCGATCAAATTTGATTGGGTAATTTTAGCCATTCAAATTTATCCACAATAATTTCAGTTCAAGAGATGTAGTAATATTGAATTTGGGCCGTTTAGTGCATAAGACCCGGATTTCTTTTGGGTTTGGATCTACTTAACAATCCCCCCCCCCCCCATGGTTCCTACTTAAGAATCTCCACCCCTATAAATAAATACAGTAAATTAGCACTGAGCTTTCTATTGAGAATTATAATTTTGCTGCATTCTGATCGGTTGAAAAATCGACCATTTTGACCTACTTAACAATCTCTCCCCCCCCCCTTTTCTTGAAAGGGGTGGAGATTGTTAAGTAGATCCTTGGGTTTTTTTTGGACGGAACAAGTGAAAAGACCCTAACATTTATTACATGGTTGGGTCTAAAATTGATTTGGTTCGTCTTTTGGCAAATATGCAGTGCAAACTTCAAATTTCACTCTAAGCAGATCAGATGAAACAACATTTTTGCCTTCTTTCCCATTAAGTCCCATCAAATTAAAGCCCCCATGATAATTGAAACACAAAAAAGGGGTTATTATTTTGATGAGAAGAGAGCTAATTCAACGGGTAAGCGTGTAGGTGAATTTTGTACCTTCTAACGAATTTCTCTCAGGGGAAATTGGCAACAAGGCAGAAAAGTCACATATGCTCAATCGTTGAATTTGGTGCGCGTTCAGTAAGTAGACAACCGCGCAAGCAGACAGGACAGTGAGCCGACAAATATGACAACACTCAAATTTGCTCAACTGAAAAAGGATATCAATTGTTTTTTGACTATCTATTCAAAACGCGTCAAAAAGTTAATTTATTCAAACTAAAACCTTGATGTTTAAGGTAACTCTGTATTATAAGCAGCAAAAAGTTGGAACAGACAGAATTAATTAAAAAGAGCATGGTGAAAATTTTGAACACATCTTGAAATCTAACTTGAAGTTTTAGGCGACCTTGACACGAAGTTGTGTTTGAAAAACTAACTTTCGTATTAAAAAAATTTCTGAATTAGGACAATTACTCGTTTTAAAACAAATCTGTTCCAATTATTTGCGACTCTATAAATCAAAGTTGTTGAGAATTGTGTGGGAAACAAAACGGATGGTTTTGTTTTGTCTGCCTACTGACCTGTCTGCTTTGCCTACTGACTGCTACATAACCGGCGGTAACTGCATTACTTCGTAATAGTGGTGGCATTCATCATAGCAGGAGGGAAATATTAACAAGATCCGGGTTGCAGAAGAAAAGAGCCCGTTCTGTGAAGAAATGTGCAGATGGGAGAAAACAAGAGAGAAGAGCCGACCTTGCATTACATGTATCTTTTCTGGACGTAGACTGGAAGGTTGGATCAAGAAATACTTCCAGAGTGCAGCTGACAGAAGCTTTAGTAAGCAGATACCTAATGACAATTTCTTGAAGTTTCTATCATTGAGAATATGATTCTGTTTCGATCATTTGGCTATAGAACCGAATGAGAGAAAATTTTCAGCCAATCATTGCTCGTTAAACTGTCCAAAACGTACTGATTTTATCGCCGATTTGCATCGAGTTTATGACTAATGAGTTCTGATTGGCTGACGAAGTTTTCATTCGGTCCTTCGCGTATGAGGGATTGCGCTCTTGAAGGCGTTTAGAAAGATTTCATATGTTTAAACGTTGATTTATTTTTTATAAGGGGATATTCGTTAGTAGGTACCCGAGGGGGGCTATAGTTAAAGAAAGATCCAAAAGTAGACAAGTCCCTATAGCCAATCAATGTAGAGAAAAAAAACACGTCGTACGTTTATTTTCTTATCTCGATTGTGATTGGCTTACGACTTGTCAACTGTATTCATATCTAATTGCCAGACATGGGTTATAAATCCCTTATTTTGTTGCATTCGCAGCTAAATTAACGACTGGAAGGGTCCGTGATTATTTGATGATACATCACTCAACCGAATCTTTTCTGCGGCTCCTCCTCCTGTTGCATGAAAAATATACAACCGTATTTAAAATTTCCCTTCAGTTTCGGCTATTGGATCATTCACACAAAAGGAGGCATTACAACAGTGCCCAAAATAAAAAAAAGTGTTGAAGGCCGAAATTGATGACCAAGATGTTATTGAATCCCCTCCCCCAGCTAAGATCCTCCACCCCAGCGGTCAACTTCAAATTAAATTTGCTGTAATATGCTGTTTTCTGATTGGCTGAGAACTCGAAATAAGTTGGGGGGGGGGGGGGGGGTGTTAATTTGGTCTCTGAATATACATACAAAGTGTTCAACAGTGCAGAAACTGATGATTTTCGACACTTGCTCGAAATTTGTTTAGACTTAGAATATCTTCTGGCTGTGTAAATACTGGTTGTCCAATTTAGACAACAACTTCGGCATTGTTAAACGACCCAGAAAAGCTTTCCATTTTTTGGGGGCTTAGGAAATTAGACGGCAAGAAATTAGACGATCAGAAAATGACGGAATTTAGACTAAAACTTGCGCGCAAATTGCTTGAACTTTGTTTAGAATTGAATTAATTTTTGGCTGAGAAAAGACTGGTTGTCCGTAAATTCCGTTTCTTTACGTTCGTCTAAATTGCTTGTCGTCTAATTTCCTAGGCCCCCATTTTTTGTTGCTCTTTTTACTTTATGGCTTACCCAGCTCAGACGGTCTGCAACTGCATATTTGCTTTTCAACTTTGAAGAAACCCTTTGTGTAAGCCGATTTAAGAATAAGCATGTGAATCATTTGCTCTGATCCAAAACTGACTGGAATGAGGGCTGCCTGCAAATAATGGGTTGCTATGTTGTACTATTTATTCCATGCCTTTGAAGCAAAGACAGACCTATAAAATTGAAGAACCCAGGTTGTTGTTATCCTTCGCTATTCCTTTTAGACTCAATAGCACTCGTAATTGTTGTTCATTTTACGACATTTTATTGTGAATGGGAACTTGATTTTACGTTTAATTTATCCACAAGTCAAATTTTCACGTACCCGTGGAAGGAAATACACGGGCAAAATTAAACGCAAATGTAGAATTTTTACTCTAAAACGTCTGATATCTTTCACGTACGCGTGCAAGGAAATACACGGACAAAATTACCCAAGATATCTTTCACGTACGCTTGTAAGGAAATACACGGACAAAATTAAACGCAAATATATAATTTTTACTCAAAAACATCTGATTTAAAGCATCTGATATTTGGGCATAATATCAGCTGCCATCTATGAAAAAGCAGTATCACTATTTGGTTTCAAGAACTTACCATTTTACCACGGGGGTCTGCAGTAGATTTTCTATGAGAGTGAACACTTCTCGAAAAGGTGGAGTAGAAATTTTGATCATTCGACTTGAAATATTTTTAGTCATCGAGAAATATTTTTAGTCATCGAGAAAGTTGAATTTTGAGTTAGGACCGAAGTGTAACTCATAGAGTAATTTCGGATAGGGTACACCGTCTGCTCGTCACGCTATCTTATTTTCGGCCGGATAGATTCGTGCAACTTCTTAGTCTAATACCGATCCTAATCTTACTCTTATACTATCTAGTCTCAGGTTGTTTAACTAGTCTCTGCTAGGCTCAATAGATCTAGGGTATACTGGTTTATTGCGGCTGCTGAAGTGCTCGGGAGAGTCCAACTAATTTCTAAGTTAAATTCAAATCTCTCTGGTGCTGAAATTACAAGTAACTTCAGCACTTACAAATAAGTGGGTTGTTAGTTAGATGGATCATGATTGGTTAATATTAAATACTTTACATTGGTAAAACATTTAATTTATCCAATCATAAAATATAGTTTAGATCAGGTTCCACCCATCCGGGTTTTACAGAGTTTTTTAGAACAGTTCTTCTGTAATTCAAGGGTGGATGATGGACGTTGGTATTTGGCGAACATCATAATTTTCTTCCGCTTCTTCTTGTGACAACGACTGAGTCTTTGCAACAAAATCAATTCTGATTTCAGAATGGTTGGCTATGTCAGGTTTTTCTGTTCTTCGGGGAGAACTTCTTTTGTGTCTGATCTAGCTTGGGAATGGCGTGGAGATTGTGCGTGGAGGGGATGCCTGGTTACTCGGATCTGTACGTATACTTGAACATCGAGGTGGTCATTGGTCTAGTTCAATGAAGTCCTTTTCTGCGAAGTCAAGTCGTACTCTAAATCCTTTGAGTTGTGATTGTGAGCGGCATATCGATTGTAGTTGGTCATTCTCTCTCGAGTGTAGTGAGGTCGTCTTGTCTTTTGATGTTCGTCCTTGGTGTTGTATTCTGATCTATATATTGCATCATGTGATTTTACATTTTATAAAACTTTTATTAGTTTAATATTTTTTAATCATGATTTTAGTTAGTTGTTTTCACAAAAGCTTTTTGTTTTAGTTCGGTTATTTTGAAGAGTTACTCACCCTTGAGTAGCTCTTATTAAAAATAAAGGTGTGGTCACAAAGCGTGGATGTAGCGCGGTGGGTTAGGCCGGCTATAGAGCATGCTCAGGACGTCCTTTCCTGGTGGGTTAGGCCAGGAGTGGGAGTATGATTTCATGCGGTGTTTGTGAGGGGTCCTGTTATGTGACAACGTTTTATGTTGGGTTTGTTGTGGTTTTACTTATGTCTTGTTGGTTATGTACTTTTTCCAAAAAGCAAATTGTTTGTGGTATGGGTTTGTCTTTCGACTTTTTTGTGTTTTATTATTTCTTTCTAAGACTTTATAATAGTCTTCAAAAGAATAAATTATCCAGTTTTAAACTGGGTTAATCCGGTTTGGGTACCGTTGGTTTCCTTTTCTTAGTCATGCTGTTATTCTATGATTTGTGGTATTTAGTAAGCTGCGTTGGTTAGTTTTGTTTAGTATATGATTCCTTTCCAACCGGGTTAAAGGAAAGTTTGAAACATGTTATTGTATGTTAGAGTTGTTGAGTGTGAAAACTTGAAACTGAAATTCATTATTTTAAACAATTCTTCGTGGGCGAGCTGTGCGAGTGTGGATAGAATTTCTGTGCAAATGAATAAAAATATCAAAAGGTTAGTACTGCAATTGCATTTTATTAATTTACTGCATAGAATTTGGAAATTTACTGCTAGTTATGGGGGAATTTTAAGATACAAATTTTCATCATAATTAGATTTACTGCTGTTGGGGGAAAATTTATAAATTAATTTACTGCATTGGTATTATATTTATTTAATTGTTGGTGCAAAAGTTTAATAGGGTCTTAAACAGTTTTGAAGAAGTTTGCTATTTTTTATTTTTCTTTTGTGAATTTTTCAGATGGTCTAGGATGAAGGCTAAAAATCTAAAGAAAACATGAATAAAGAATGGTGAGTTTTTAATATTTTAATTAGTTAGTGATATCATTTAATTCATACTTACCTGTTAGTCGTCGGGGAAAAAACCGTGGGGGAAGATGTCGTGAATTAGTTCTGAAGTTGTTAGTAGTTTAGCTAGAATGCGGATGATATTTTTAGTCTGAAGTAGTGGCCAAAGCAATTGAAGTGCCTTAATAGTGGTTAGTTCTTCAGTGCCTACTGCAAACTCATAAGGTGTGTTTTGGATTAAGTTATATAATTTGTGGTTAAATTTCGTGTTGTGGATGAATTCTAAAATTGGGATTTCTATAGGCTGTACAAACTCGTGCGGGATAAGGAAGGGTCGGGATTCTTCGGCGTTGAAGGTCTTGGTGATGGGGCAGAAAATGTACATTTGGGTTATGGGGTCATAATTACGAAGAATACCATGGAGGTTAGTGTCTTTAATACAATATGTGAAATTTAGGAAATACGGTGAAGTGTATTTTGAATTGATGAATTGAAAACGATGGTGTGGTTGTCTAGAGGGTGTGTGGAGGTCAAAGTGATTTTGGATGAAACGATAGTAACTGTATGTATGTGTTTGTTTAGTGCGCAACATAATATCATGTGAGCAGTGCAAATCTCTTTCGTGTGGTGCAAGGAAATGAAAGGTTAGTGAAAAGATTTGGAAGCGTTCTTTAAAACTTTCGTATGCTTGTGTGTTTGTTAGTGCTTCTGAAATAATGTGATCAAACTTTCGGTCGAAGATGTTTAGTGTAAATACATATGGTGTCTTGATGAAAAATTTCTCGGTGATTTGTGGATTAGCGAAGCGATCGTCGTCTAAGAATTGATCTTGGTTAGCTCTAATGATGTTGTGATCGTAGTATTCTAGTGTATATTCATTAGCTCTAGGTGCAGTGTGTATTTTTAGTGATTTTTTATATCCAACGTAAGTAAACTGTCTAGCGGTTAGTGGTGTAGTTAGTCGATATAGCATGTCTTTGTTTCGTTCTATATCGATGGAAGTGTTGGATAAAGGTAAGCAAAGAGGGTTAGTGAAATGATAGTATGAGGTCCAAGAGAGAGTGGGCATTAAAACGTATTCATCTACAAAGTTGCGTGTTTCGTTAGCGTCGTGAGGGGTGTTTAAGGTGTATTGTGGAAACGAGGGTAAAGTGATAGCTAAAAATTCTTTAGTGTTAGTATGCTGGGGGTGGTTGATGTATTCACGGGCTGTTCCTGGTTTTGCTGGGAAAGGATGGTTGGGGAATTTTCTTTTAAAAGTGCGGTAAGCTCTGTTAGTGTTTAGTGAAGATATAGTGGATGTGGATGATGGTGTTAATGATTCAGTATAATTTGAAGAGGGTGTAGGGGGATTGGATGAATTTGTAGTGGAGGAGATTTGGTTTATGGTCGGGGTGTTTAGGTGGTAGGGTTGTTGTTGGAGGGTAATAAAATTATCTAGCTCTGGGGAGATTCTGGGGGTGTCTGGAGAATGAGATGATTGGTCAGAATGGTATGAGGAGTAGGTTGGGGTAACTTGGGAAGCATAAGAGGGTGTGGGAGTGATTGGGTCAGGGTTATTGGATAATATGGGTTGAAAAGGGGGTTGAGAAAAATTAGAAGAGTTATGAAAATTATTGGATGGGGATGGTTCTGAGTCGGCAAATTCATCGGGGGTTTCAATATTCGGGTTATTTAGCTGTGAGATGGAGTATAAAACTGAAATATGTGAGTTAGTGTCGGAATTCATGCCTGATGTTACATTGCTAGATGGAAAATCGGGTGGCGGAAAAGCAAAAAGTGGTATTATTGGGATTGGAGAGGCAAGATTGGTTGGATGGGAATTTGATCGGTGTAGTGATCCAAGTTGGCGGCTCATCGTGGGCTAAAAAAATGATTATTTTGAGACTGAAAAGCGGTGGTATGGGGTTGTTCAATAATTTGTTCATAAGTATTATCATCTTGTGGCTGGTGTGTCATTATATGTTGAATGGGACTTTGTGATGTGGTGAGTCGAAAATTTGGGTTATGTGTGATGGCTAAATTTCGAAAATTTCGTGGGACTAGGGATAGTGGATGGTTATTTGGTAAGGGTGGTAATTGTGGTGCCGTTGGCGTTATGTCTACATTGTTATGTTCTTCGTCGTATGTATTTTGTCGTGTTGTTATTTTTGTGTTATATTCTTTTATTTGTGCGTCTAAAAGAATTTTGTTTATAGATGTGGAAAAAATTCCAAAAAATCCTGCAAAGAGTATGCGTGCTACGCTTGCTTGTCTGTTTACTTGTGTGTGTATAGCACATGTATTGTAGATTCCTTTTAAGAGTGAGAAAAGAAATCCAATAAAGTTAAACATTGCGTATAAAATAGTCAATTTTTCTAAGATGTAGTAGGGCCATCCTAGAAAATCAAGGATTTCATTTTTGAGTGTAACAAAGCTAAAAATGTTGATTGGTGATATATCTTGGGGACGGTATTTTTCGCCGTTTAGATATATATAATCTTTAATGTCTTTAAAATATCCGCTATAGTCTTGCGTGTAGATATCGGCAAATCCTGCGGTTTCTGCAAGTTTGCGTAAGTTTTGGTCAATTGATTGTCTTTGTATAGTGTCCATTTGTGTTAATAATTCTTGGAATTGTTGTGTTCTAATGTGATGTTGAATATCTGATTTTGAATAGATTCCTATTGATTGTAAGTCTATATTTGGGTTTCGAGCGATAGCGCGAATGCTTTCTGGTGAAAATTTTTTGAGTGATTGCATTAATGTGGGATATGGAGTGAGAAGATAATATTTATTTTCATCAGGGTTTAGTTGTACTACATTGTGGC